TACAGAGTAGGACTTTGTTGACATTTTCACTTCCTTTTATCTCTTAACTTGGTGCCTGCCCGAGGGCCCAGGCAGACCCCAGCTCAGAACAGGGAAGGGGAATGCATTAAGGGCAGGAATCACGTGGAAATCACACACATGATTATAGAGGTCTCCTAACGATATGGCACACTGTTAGATAATAGCTGGCCAGGGGACCCAGGGACATCTGAATCCTGTGTCAAACCCCAGCCCCTCTTCCCATGGGATTCTTCAGAAACAGTGTAGGGAAAACACATAAGAGGAAAATCAAATGCATTTTATCCTTAGCCAGATTGATAGTTGAAGCTTATTGAGGAACACCTGGGAAACAGAGCTTAAGTAAGGTCTGCATCTCCCCATCTCCCACATGTACTCCCCCAAATATTGGGATCTGAGACTCTTGGGTTATCCACAAGGGAAGGACTGAAAACAAAAGAGGTCCCATAGTCAGCCATGGTGAATTAGAAACTGAGTCAAAGGAAAGCAAAGATAAGAGAAAGTAAATGGCATCCCAAGTGTGTGACCTTTCAACACATTGCCATATGGCCACCAGCAAGTGCAACCCAATCCATATGCTGGAATATGACCAGACTGCTTCCTCTCCCACCTCTTTTTCTTTCTCCTCCCCCACTTTTTCAAATGGAAACTTCCACAAACTTCACAGATGAAGTGCAAATGATAAGTCACCAGGCACTGAATCAGGAGGCTGGGCTTGACTTGGCCCCTTACTCACTCTGTGCCTGGGAGTCGATAATTAGCCCTCTGTCCATTTCCTTATGTTAAAACAGGCATACTCATTCCATCCTCACAGGACCACTGCATGGGATACGGTAATATACAAAATAATAACCAGTAACAAGGCAAACACCACATCTTTGGAAGCACTGACCAATAATTTATTGGCTATGGACCCCAATAAAAACAATTTTAAAATAAAAAATTCTGAAAAGTACATTTGTAAATTTGGGTTACCTAACAGTTTCTGGGTTTTCTGCTATTTGCCCTGAGCCTAGTACAAACCACTAAGATATATGTGTACTTGCAAGGCTCGTTATGTGCATATTTACATTCTTTTAATATAGTAGTTCAGAACAGCATAGAGACTTCAGCAGATGCCAAAACTGAAGCTCTTCTTGACATGCCTCATTGCATTGCTTCTCTTACCTTAATTGTTTATCCTCACCTCAGTGACTCCCTAAAAACTGGGGCCTCAGAGAAGGCTCAGTCACTGTGAAAACAGCTGACCTCCTTCCTGTCAGCAACCTGACTTGGGCAAAAGGGATTAACTTTTGGCCATACCATCAGAACAAGGAGACTTAGAAGGAGCTGCCTCATCCTTGTCCCCAACGTAGGCAGTAATAACAATAAATGCCACCATAGATTGCCTTGTTTGACACTGAGTTCCAGTGGCTAGAGTGATCCTGGTCATACTGCTGAAGCTCAAGAATTAAGTGCTTAAAGAAGAAATAAATGGACAAACAAACTAAGTTTGAGCCATTTATCAAGCGTTTATTACATGTCAGGCACTCACTGAAAACCTCAGAGAATAACATCTAATCTTTTCCATCACTTTTGAGGTTGATATTAATCCTCTTCTGAAGAGGCATGAGAAATGGGATTAAGAGAAGGTAGATACCTGGTCCAAGGGCCAATAGTAGGCAGAGACCTCACTCCTTGTCTCACTCTTATCCCTGTGTTCATTTCAATAACCCAAAGAAACTTTAGAGAGTGCTTTGAGGCCACTGGAAAGTGACCAGTTTGCTAAGCCCCATGTTTACCTCACTATTTGCTCTTGGAGTGAGGAAAGGTTCCATAAAGCTTGGCATCAAAGCACCTTATACTTCTCACTGAAGCAATCCAACTAAGTCTTCCTTAAACAGCATGAATGTGCATTTGTGAGGGAGAATGCATCAAATCCATATTAATGAATAAGAAAAAGCTGAGGGGAATCTGCCTTCAAAGTATCAGATGCACATAAAACATAAGCTGGGATAAAACCTTTACATAGTTCTCAGGACAAGTCTAATTACCAGAAGGTATTAGAGTTCTATGTGAAGTGGTGTATCCTGGAGGAGCCCAGTTGAGAGACCTGGCAATGCCTTCCCTGTGCCCTTGGGATCAGAGGTACACCAGAACTGGCTTATATCAGCTCACTAGTCAAATGCACACACAACATCTCAACTTTTAAGCTGGCAGCTTAAACTTGGCCACAACGGCAGTATTTGTACCACAGTGATTGGCAAATGCTGTATATCAGGTTCTCCCACCCTGCCCCAGGAGAGGTAGTCCTTAAACGTTTCCTAGCATACTAGTGGGTGATGTCTGAGCAGTGGCCATTCCCTGCGAAGTTCAGATGTACATTCCAACAACCCAAACCCTTGGGAAAGACCATATACTGTTCCTCAGAAACCTACACAAAACAAATGTCTGAGCTGGGAAAACCTCAGCCCCTTCTAAGCCTCTGTTTAACCTCTATGACAGCATTATGCATTCATGCCCTTCCCAGAATCCCTGTGGCAAGGTAGGCATGAGAATCTTCCCACAATTAATGACCTTATGGATACCACAGTGTGACACTCACTATTTAATCATAGCTGACAGACAAGAAATTCCTCTCCTTTGTTTAAGGAATCTATAACTTCATTTTGAAAAAAAAGAACACATTTTATCTGTGCCTTTTTATTATATTACTTTAGCACATCTTCCTCTACATTTTTAAAAGAAATTACAAAGTCTCAAAGATATTTTGTGGGGAGAAGAAGAAAACAAATCAAGCTGGGATGGAGAAAATTACATAAAATTAATTTAGAGATGAAAAATTCCAGTGGTACCAAACAATCCAGCATTTCCAAACAATTTAATCCAGTTTCTCATTCTCCCACCATTCTCCTCCCCTCTCCCAGATATAAGAACAGTGTGAGCTTTGTGTTCTGAGATTATTAATCTGAGTTCAGACTCAATCAACTGTTTGATTTCAGAGACTGTTCTCCCAACAAAGCACAATGAAGCAATTCTCTTAGAGTCAAGATACATTCAGGTGTCTCTTCCATACGTCCTTTGACGTGAGTGAGGAGGATGGATATATATGAAAGAAGACAACTAACACACCCCTTCAAAGATTAAATTATAAGACCTAGATCCTGTCAGGAAATGCCAATTGATTACAGAAAGTCTTAGAAAGTCAACAGAAAACTTAGGGCATGAAACAGTTCAACCTCAGCACAGTTTTTGCAAGGCAGTGATGAAAGTCTAGAAGCACAGAGCAATGATAGTATCATCAATCAGATGCACAAGTCTGTCCCACCAGCCATAGTAAATGTCTATTTCCTGCCAATCCAATCCAAGAGTGTGAAGGATGTGAAAACGAAGATCAGCCAGATGGTGACTCGAGGCAATCCATTCTCTCCTCTGTGGATTCCTAGACACAAGGCTCATCAAAAATAATGCAATGGGGGTGAAGATATAGCTCAATTGTAGGGTGCTTGCCTAGCATGTGGGAGGCCCTGGGATTGATCCCCAGTATGAGGCCAGGGGGAAGCAATGGCCCCAGAAGTTTCAGATATTTTCAGAAAAATATACAGAGCTAGGAATGAAATTGTCTCATATGCCAGATGCTGGAGTGCTCTCTCATTGCATCCTCTCCACCTCTGGTAGATGGACATTCTACGCTTCATTTTTTATAGGTGAAGGGCCTAAGGAGGAGAGGCTAGGTAACTTGCCTAAGACAGCACTGCTACAGAGGAAGAATGTGGATTCAAGCCAGGGTCCTTGCTCCCAGATCCACACACTGCTGCTACAGAAAAGGAAAGGCATGAACTCTCCGTCACTTCAGATGGATGGCTATAAATTGATCCTGAGACTTCTAAACTGCTCATCTATTTCCAAACTCCAGCTCTGTCACCAAAAGTGCTGAAGGTACAGTCAGTTCATTTGTTTTACATTAAGATGCATTGCATGCCTACTGCAGTAAGTGAAACTTCACGCCAACTCAGAAACTCTGCATGTACCCAGCTGCAGCAGAACTCACAATCCCACATCTCTGTTTACCAGCTAAAACTCTTCAGCTTCAAATAGTCACAGGACTTAGGAAGGAGAACAAGGAACACACCACATGCTGCAATCACTTTTAGTTCAACTACCAGAGTGTGGATATAAATATGACAGCACTTCTCTGTACGGCAACAGCATGTGAACTAAATCCCCTCTCAAGCTGGGGATATGTAATTATGTTGTGAAAAAAAGCAAAAAAAAAAAAAATCCCCCAAAACAAAAACAAAACACTCAAACTTTCCAAAACTATCAAAGGTTTTCATCAATTCTCATTAGTTAAAATGTTTTAAAATATTTGCACTTTTCAGGATGAATAAGCAATCTGGGTACTCTGGGTACGCAATAAATATTTTAGGTAACCCCCAAAAGGGTTCATGGATAAATATGTTTGTGACAGCATCAGTTATAATTTCAAAAAGAAAAAGAATTCTAGAAATACCATAATGGTCAATAACAGAACTGTTAAATAAAGTTCTTTCATTCAAAACTGTATTAGAAAAAGCCCTTAGAAGTTTGTTAGGAAGACATTAGACTAAAGAAAAACAAAATGTTCCTGTCAATCAATGCTGAATAAAGAAAGAAACCACAAACTTTATTTTATGCACATAAAGTGTGTGGAGGAAGAGAAAAGTAATACTGACAGAACACTGTTGGGGAGTAGCAGAATTTGTGGGTAAATTTTTACTGCTGTAATTTTAGATTTCCATTAAGGTTGTTACAATATTAACTGGGCAGTAAGTGTTGCTGATTAACAGTAATGAGGTGGGCTGGAAACATGGCTCAAGTGGAAGAGTACCTGCCTAGGAAGTGTGAGCCCCTCAGTTCAAACCCAGTACTTCTCCCCCATGCGGCCCAAAAACCAGTAATGAGGAGGACGGTGATGACAGACAATAGTGATGAGGAGGAACTAAAATGAACTGTCCATTCACAGATTAAAACTGAACCATAGAAGCCAGCAGCTCTTTTCCTTAGGTCTGGCCCCCGAACTACAGGGCAGGGCCCTGTAGCTGGTTCCCACCTACCTTGTTGGATAAGCGCTTCAGCCACCAGTTCTCCACTGCCCACGTTGGCATACTCCTCGTTGGGGTGCTTCCTGTTATAATGCCGCTTCAGCGAGCCAGAGATGTTGCAGGAGTAATGACAATGAGCACAGCGGAAAGGCTGAGGGACAAAGAGAAAGGAAAGGTGAGCCCAGGCAAACAGAGAAGCATGACTTCTGCAAGTAACGCTCTCGTGACTTTGCTCACCTAGTGAGCATCTGACACCCAGAAGCCTGTGATGACTAGAACCTGTCACTTCTGTGATGCCAGTGGAAAACTGCTGGCCTCAGGAATGACAGTCCTGCTTCTTCAGCAACCCACCAAATGACCAGGACATGGTGTCCCAGGCATAGGAATTGTCTACCAAACGAGTGTGCTCTTGCTATTTCATATCTTTTCCTTTTTTGCTCACCCCAAAGCCTACAGTTCTTGTTCAAGAAGATAACCCAAAAAGCAATATATTAATTTATCATTTTTAAATAAATGCTATTAAAAGTAGCTTCCATTACAATCAACTCCCTGATATTTTTGCTTCTTTAGCTAAATGACTTCCTCTGCAGCATTTACTGCCAGCACCTGCATACAGTGTCAGCCATCGATGAGGTCCACCTAGCAAAATCTGCTTCCAATCCCCACCTAAGCAAGATGAGGCACTTTTAGGATATGGACACAAATGGGTCCACAGCCTTGTCTGCTCTCTTGCACACTGCTTCTGAGGACTAAAAAACTAGGAGGGGGAAGCAGTGTCCATCAGGCCCGGTGAGACGTGGGCATCGGTTGGGTGACAGATGTGCACCTCAATCACTGTCATATCAGTTATCCCTGTCAGGAAGACATCAACTGTCCCCCGAGCCCATAGTACACAGCTCTGACAGAGTGCTACAGAAATCCCTATTTTTGCATTCAGGCACATGTAACAACAGCAGTTTCCTGGCCTAGCAGGAACTAAGGAAGAGCACAGGGCACCCTTCGATAGTCCCAGCATTCTAGCCACAGGGCACGTTCAACTGCACAGTTGGTCCTGACTAGCAATGAAACCTAGATGAGTCACAAAACTCTGAGCTTTGATCTTCTCATGAGGGAAACTGGGAGGATAAAACCCACCTTTTAAGGTTCTGGTGAGAATTAAACAATACAATGTAAAGTGACATCTAAGATGTGTTATCAAGGGATTCTTCCTGTTTTTATTAGCAATTTTACCACAATCGTTGCATGTCTGGGAGCTGATATTCCATTATGTCTTTTAAGACACCTTGACTTCCTGACTGCTCAATTCATCAATCTTTCCACCACTAGTATGCAGAAGAGCTTCACAGCAACAGCGATGTCTGAATGTGCACCAGCAAATAGGGAAATGTCCTCTCTCCTTCAATCCCTCATTATCCTCTTGAAATTGCTTCTTCCTTTAATGTGTGCTCCAGTCTTCCCATTGAGAATGAGCAGAGACAGACAGATAGAAAGAAGAGAGGGAGGAAAGGAAAAAAAAAACAAAGAAACCTTTTGCCTACGTCCTCACGCTCCTTCCTTCTAGTTGTTTAACCACCTGACCTCTTGAAAAGCAGTTGTACCCAGGGTCTACGTTCCTTCCCCTCCCTCTTCAAGCTCTGAGATCTCCAAGGCAAACAGTCTCAAGGTTCAGCCAGTGCTCTCTTCTCAGACCTCATGCCCCCAGGCATCAGCTGCCCTGCTATTGCTAGGTTGTGTTGCCTGAACTCTGGATTTTCTGACTAAATCTGCTTCATAGGACTGATACTTGGGGCTGGCTCTCTCCAAGGTTCTGTCCTTCTGCCATGGTCCCCTTATTGTTTCCATGCTGTTCATCAGTCACACTGCATCTGCCAGTCCAGTGTGAACTCTCCTGACCCACAGGTAAGAATGTCAACTGCCTTCCAGGCATCTCCACAGGGATGCTCTGTAGGTACCTCTAACACAAGTTCAGATTCATGTCTTTTCTGCAAAATCAGCTAATCGCTCAGAGGCAGAAGGCTGACGATCACCCTGGGCTTCTCCTTCTCTTCAGCAACTCAACCACTTACCAGGTCTTGTGCAGTCATCTTGGAACCCTCTCTAGAATCTGCCCCTGCCCTTCTCTCCCTATCACTACAGCACAGAGAAAGGCAATGTCTCACCTTACAAATGAAATGCTGCCACCCCCAGGAGGGCTGTTCTCAGAGGGAAAAACATGGAGCAGTTAGTTGGGTGGCTCAACCTGCTTTTTAGCATGCTGTGGGAACACCCTACATCAGGGCCACACTTGGGACATAGGATGCTCTGTGCTGCTCTGTACAATGCTACATTCCTACAATTAGTCCTATACATAACAGAGTCTTGGTAGTCAGGTTCACAAACGTTTATTAAACAAAAGGACTTGAAACAAAGGCAAAATTAGTCAGGATTTCTCATCTATCAATTGAGCAGAGAATAAAAGGTCTAAAATTCCAATACAGGATTATTGCAAAGTTAAAAGCTAAACCATTTTCAAATGCCTTCATCTCTAAATAAGCAAATATATGAGGTTATTATTTTTGGAATGTTAGCATTTGCACAGAAATCAAAACAAGAAACTGGAAATATCAGACTGTCCACATGGAGCAATCAGCAGACATCGGGGCGGAAAGAGAAGGGACAATTATGCCAAGAAATGGTTCTGCAAACCTAACTTCAGACTCGCTGCAGAGCCAGCCCCATCCTTGAGGCAAAGGAGATAAACTGTCTCATGAGTTTCAGCACCTTTTATTCCCATGCCCCTCTTTGGCAAAATTGTTAATGAGGAGAAAAATGGCCAAAATGTGAGCATATAGGCAAAAAGGAAAAAAAAGTGTACAGAAGAGGCCAAATGAGAAATCTGTCTCTGAGCTATCCATTTTTATTAAAACCCTCAAAACTTAAAGTGGGAAGGGAATGCTTTTATTGTCCTACAAATTCTAACCTGAGAGGCATTGCCATAGTCCAGTAGAGGCTGTTGCAGGGGAGAGGCAATGCTGGAGAAAACCAAGCACTCCTAAGCCACTATCCAACATAAACTGACTGCACTGATACTGTGAGTCCTGAGATTTCATTCTGAAGCCTCTATCTGCTGACCTCCTGCTGTGTCAGGCACTGTTCTCTGACCTGGGGATCCAGTGACAGTGACGAATGAGACAGATTTGTGATTTCCTGAATATATGTGAGTTTCTGGACTTAAATATCAACTGCGAAGATTAAATGCTATCTAGGTGAACTAAATCATAAAACATGGCTTCTAAGGCAGATACTCGCAAATAGTAAATGACACTAGATATCACAAGGGAAGTTATTTATTCAGAGCTTTCAGACCAGAATCCAGCCAGGAATTAGGAAGAAGATATACAGGCTGCACCAACATACTTAATTTGGAACAAAAACCTCAGATTTCTTATTGTGATCCAAAAAGAAAACCAGTCAGAAAATAAGACAGGAAGCCTACTGTCAGAGCTACTATTCAATGTTGCACTGGAGTTATTAACCAACGCGACGAGATCTAGCACCATAAGTATTACTATTTTATCAATATTTACTGATAGCAACTATGTGCCAGATAGTTCTAAGTGCTTTTTCAGATTAATTCCTGTAAGTCTCACAACAACCTCATATGGTAGATACAATTATTATCCCCATTTTACAGGTAAGGAAACTGAGGCACAGAATGATTAAGGAACTTGCCAAAAGTTTCAGTCTCCCAGTCTAACCACTTGGTCTGCATTGAATTTGGGGCCCCAGGAAGATCCAACAATGAACACTTTGTTTTCCCACTAGCCATGATTTCCTGAGACTGAGAGCCTCAAGGAGAGGAGTTATCCATGTTTCCAGCTTAGATGCCACCAGTCTGGGGGCAGGGGGGCACAGGGGAGAAACTAAAAATTCTAGAGTTCTAGACAGAAAATCCAAGAGGGCTAGTTCAGAAAGTGGTTGGAGCCATGAGTCTAAAACTCAGAGCAAAGTTATGACTTATAGATGCACACCTAAGCACAGGCAAAGAGCAGATGTCCTGTGACTGAACTCACCCCAAATCAAGAGCATGTGTAGTAAGGCAAGGCACAGCACTGGAACAGCACCCTGGAATACAGGGGGTAGGTAGATCAGAGGAGAGAGACAGGGAGGAGGACAGCAGAGTGAGCAGAGTAGAACAATCAGAGGATGGAGAGTCACACAATCAAAGGAGGGCCATCCTTCAAGGAGAGGGGCATAGCAATCAAGCACTCTGAGAAGCCCAATTGGAAAAGGCTCCTCTGGTGTCACTGGGCCTGCTCTGGTTAGCTTACTGAGCACTTTCAGTAGCGTGGGAAAACAAAAGTTAAATTCAGCAAGTCACAGAGGGGACGTGGCACAGAAGTAGGCTTTAGATCACGGTCCTGTTTTCAAAAGGCAGTATCAAAGGATCTTCTCAAAAGGTGTATTCAAGACCCACCATGTGAAAGGAAGTTAAAGAAACCCACACATTGAAAGCAAAAGTGCAACTGAATTTGTAAGGCTGAAACTCTGCAAATTCTTGGACTTATATCAAGAAAGCAAATAAATACATACAATTAAATAATAATAATTGATAAAAACAATTTAGAACAAAAAGTAAGACAAACAGCTACGTGACAAAAGAATTTACTGTTCTGGTTCTTCAAACAGAAATAAAGGAAATGGAAAAAGACTTGCAGTCCTGCCTCATCCACAAAACTGGGCTCTAAAATACCTGGCTAGAAGACATCTAACTCCACAGACAGAGACAGATACCATTTTGTGTCAACATCAAGGAAGAGATTTGGGGAATGTTTTAAAGGAGATGAAAGGCTGGTTATGAGGTAATGTTCAAGGTCATGGTATTGGCAACCAATTATGGCTTTTTAATAAAAGAGGTTGCTTCATTGACCTCTATTCCCAGCAATCAGGAAGGCCCTCACCAGGTAAGACTCTATACCCAAGTATGGCACAAACAAGTATGGTGCTATGCTCTTGGATTTATACCAAAAGGCTCAGAGTTCAAAATGTGTATCTACCACTTTGAGATGGGCCTACCCTTCTCTGAAGAGTATGAATAAGGATAACTGCAAAGATGGTACCAGATGACAAGTGAGTGAAACCTGGTGCCACGAACCTGGATGAAGAAGATCT